CGACAGTTGCGACAGTTGCAAATCATTTGAACGTAGTGTCAGTACAGTTCGTCATAAATAGAACGAGGCATGATGGGGATGACGGGGATCATGTCGCATCGCATGGCGCCGCGCCGCATCCAGTGTAGACAACACACCCAACTCAATCCAAGCAGTCCTTAATATTTTCAAGAAACAGCTGAAAACATATCTCTTTCATATTAATTTGACTCTCTAACTCTAGCACTCTCTATTCTAATGCTACTTCTAATTTTATCTGCTGTTTTTTTTTTATTTAAAAACTTGATCCTCTAACCTTTCTATTTTCTATTCTATTTCTATTCTAATGGCCAATCCATCATTTTTTTGGGGATTTTTTATTTATTTAATAAGTATTTAATAAGTATCGGTTCAGGCACTGTTTAGGCACCAGAACCGTTTTAAAAGTATCAATTTGGCACTGCTATAAATTGGATATGATCGGTTATGATTGGATGTGATTGGTTCGTGTGATAAATCCTGCCTCTTGTTTTCGTGCGAGCTCTCAGTCTGAATGAAGAAAATGATGGCGTTATTGACTAATTATAAAGTAAGTAAACAACTCTCCCTCTTAGATACCACTACTTTGTGTCACGTCAAAATAAAACTTGATGGTCTGAAAACGTGATGACTGTGTCAGTTTTTAGTAAGCATTCAGCGTGATGAAATGAAAGATATATATTCGTGTCTGTGGCAGTGTTTACAGAGCTTTTATGATGATGACCCGAAATAAGTTGACTATTAAAAAGAACAGCTGAACATCAGTTCACAAATAAAAAAAATATTGGTAACATTTTACAATAAGAGTTCACAAATAAAAAATATTGGTAATATTTTACAATAAGGTGTCATTTAATGAGTTGGCTAACATGAACAAACAATGAACATTTATTACAGTATTTATTCATCTTTGTTTACATTAGTTAATACAAATACAGTTGCTCATTGTTGTTCATGTTAGTTCACAGTGCATAAACTAATGTTAACAAACATAACTTGATTTTAATAATGCATTAGTAAATGTTGAAATTAATATTAACGAAGATTAATAAATGATGTAGAAGTAGGCTATTGTTTATTCTTAGTTCATGTTAACTAAAATAGTTAACTAATGAAATCTTATTGTAAACTGTTTCCAGAATATCGTTCAAATTGTTACTGCCTTTAGTTATTATTTTGGAATAAGTATAAAAATGCATAAAAACACTATGACATGTATAATTAGTATTAAAAATATTAAATAAAATAAAAAAATAATATTAATAAAATACAAAATAGAATTATATTTGTTCTTTTTATATAATATTTATATATAGAATTATATTTGTTCTATTTTTATGTAATATTTATATATAAATATATAATATATATTTATATATAAAACTAAAACACCACCGCACGCCACTGCGTACCACCTACACTAAACTCTACCTGAAACCTAAACAATAGTTTGAGAATAAGCAAACCTGGGATAAAATTGCATTTGCCAAAGGAGTGCAACGCTGTACCAGGTGAGCTAGCGTGCAAGCTTACAATGATAAACAAGCCATACACATGGAGCAGGTTATGTGATATGTTACAATGTATTCATTTATAAATCATGCTCTGTGGTAAAAGTGTTTTGAGGTCATAGTATAGTATTGTGCAAGGAACTGCACAACAAAAACAGTCTTTATTAATCGATACTCTGGCCCTGTAATAATTTATGTGAAAAGGAAAAACAAAATTAAAAATACAAAAAGTTGTTGGTGTTTTACTGCCACTATTTCACCTGGAAACTGCAGTGAAATTTCTGTATCGGTTTACGTTTTAAATGGCAGAGACATATTTCCAATGAGACTTGGTTTCATATAAATGTATATCCAATGTTACTTGACAAAAAAAGTGAGAATGTGAAAATGGGTTCTGAACCCACCCTAAGTCCACAGGGCCCAAGAAACACCCAATTCTTTTATTTCACGTGTGCTATTTCATAGTTTTGATGACTTTACTATTATTCTAAAGTATAGATGATAGTAATAAAGAATGAATAGTGTGCCAAACCTTGAGTCATAGTGTATAATTGTCTGCTTATTTGGAGCAGAAATGTGTTCTTACCATTTTTACTGAAGGCCAGAGACGCCAGCGGTGGTGCAATCAAATCCACAACCTTGGGGAAGAAAGAGAGAAGTGCATTATTCTAAAAGTGAGAAATCTCACCTATATGTGCTTAGTCTCAGCAGACCGCACACACACGGCGTGAGTGAAAGTGAAACAGCTGGAAGCAGAAGACTGAGAGAGTGCTCTGAAGAGCTCCAATTTGCATGGAAATGTGATGTCAGCTCTGCCCTTTGATCATAGAAAGTGTGTTCCAACAAAAGGCCTTACGCCAGCTCTTTTGAAAATTAGAATCAGGTTTTTATGATTATTACCAACTACAATCAGCCGCATGGCAGCAAACGTTGTGCACAGGTGCCTTAATGTGGATGGCTGTGGGCATCTCCCAAACAAAGGATTTCACTCTCTCTGACTCGAAGTGAAAAGAACACCAAAGAAACATATTGTAAAGGTTATCTATGAATTTTCCTCTTCTTGTATCTGTTGTAAAAGACAGATTTTTTCAGCGAGCTGCAAGTATTGTACAGGTGCTATGTTAACCCGCGTCACATCTTTGATCTCTTGCCCGCTCCTTATGAGACGTTTGTCATGAATGTCAGTATAATGGTAATTCTTTCTCTGTAGCTTAGTTGAGGTATGTTTGAATGTTAGAATCAAGTGAGTTTTCTACCCAGACAGCCATTATATGGGTCAATGATGAATACGTGTCCTTGAGGAAGGAAAATCTTTTAAAAATCCAGTTAAACACACACGTTCTTAGAAATTACTTTTTCTATTCATGTTGTTTTCATATGGTTTTGAAAAACTCATACTATTCAACACAAATTTACATTTAATGAAAATGTCAAACAAATCTATGATTTTGACCACAACTTTGATTTTGAATAAGTTTGTAAAAATAATAAGCATTAAGTTAATAAGCAATGATAAGTTACAACTACTTAAGGTATTATTATTAGTAGTAGTATTTGTAATGTTAATTATAATTATATAATTATATATTTTTGTTTAAATATTTTATGATTGAAATGTTTTACTGTTTGTACAAATTGCATGGTAAGAAAAATAAGTTGTTCTGCAATATTTTAAGAAGTTTCTGTTCCTCATCAAATGCATTACCTGCATTTATTTGATTAAATAAATAAATAAAAAAATATAAAATTAATATGTAAAAACAGTAATTTTGTTCTATAATATAATAGAATATAATAGAATTTATTATTTATTTTCAGGATTCTTTTATTAAGACAGCATTTATTTGAAATATAAATCTTTTGTAACATTATACATTTTTTTTTTACAGGTAAAAAAACAAAACAAAGAAAAAAAAAAAAGTCACGTGTCATGTATCACATCATGACCCATTCACGTACTATTACTGCATTTTTTGGAAATCATGTGGAAATCGACTTGTTTAGCTTCCAACACTATAAAAAATATTTTTTGGCATCTATGGTACCTTCCCACTGCACAAAAGGTTCTTTATTGTGGAAAAAGGTTCTTTAAATTATTTTGATTAAAATGTTCTTCACACTAAGGGAAGAGAGAAGAAAAAAAAATCTTTAAAGAACTGCTTACTGAAAGGTTCTTTGAGGGACCAATCATGGTTCTTCTGTGGCATGACTGCAAAACCCCCTTTTGGAACCTTTAGCAAGAGGGCATTTTTGCATGCAGAGCCTTTGTGTCTATAATCCTCATTAGTATTGGTTTCAATAAACCGGACATTCACATGCTATATAGAGTGTGTGTGTGTGTTTTGAGAGTGAAAAAATGGGATCTAATGACTCCTGGCGAACTGTAATTAAGGTGCCTTCTCCTACTATAGAGTATCAGAGAGTCTGTGTCCTCTCACCGCTACCTGATGCATCAGTCCTACAGAACGCACATCAATACTCATTATAAAAGCCTTACACACAGAGAGATATGCACACACACACTCCCTTCACTCCTGAGTGATTTGCTGTTGCGGAGAGGTTTGTGAGAATAATAATGCTGGGCAGAGGGGAGCCGTGATCTCAGTTGTAGCTCCGTCAGGCGTGAGGACGTGAGATCTCAGGTTAGACGTGAATGTGGCCCTTGCTGCTCTGATACACAGCTTGATATTATTGTGTTTGTGAGCCTGTCATTATGGAGGGCAAGTTAAATGGCTGAATGGGGCCAAATTGAGGGTTTAGAGACTAACTTTTCCATGAACATTTTCATAGACACCTTACACTTTCATGGGGAGACAAACACGGTTGTGAAATTTGTGCAATAGTCCCATAACACGCTTCAACAAAATGTAGCTAAATGCTGTTGGAAAGATGCTTAAATAATTTATAAATAATTGGGAGAAAAAAAATGAATAGCAGAACATCAAAAAGTGGTATATATACTCACAGTGCAGTGATAGAGGCCGAGAAGAGCGGGATGTTGGGAAATGGCCTCCACTGCAGATAGTGTGTTTCTGATCAGTTCCTCAGATGCTGCTTGACCTGTTAATTGTAGATAAAATAATCATAGCAGACATAAATGTAGGAATACAACAGTAATCTCACTTTTGAACAATTAATTTTCAACCAATGACTGAAAAAAACAAATATTACACTGGAAGACATCAACTGAAAAACAACATGTCTGAAAAATTGGAGCTAAAATAAATACATTAGAGCCGTATATCTTAAATGAATCAGCAAAGCGCCTTGAACACTAAAGAATGTAGTTCATGCAAGAATGGTTTAAAGTAAAAAAGCACAGAAAGAGAAGTTGAAGAGTTTGTGAAAACCTTAGATAAATAAAACTGCAAATAAAAACTTACCTATAGCACTTCCCAAACTCGTCTCATTAGAGTCAATGGAGGTTATGTGATTCTTTCCATAATGAAAGAGAAAAGAGATATTTAAAATTACACATTTTAATGTCGATCATTCATTCATTCATTAATTTTCACTGAGTTATGAACAAAAACAACTACCACTTTTTGGACATGTAACATGCAACATAATTAAATGGCCAATGTCAATACAGATTCTAATATTTATAGACAGGATGACTGATATGTCTAATGTAATTTAATGAAAGATGTACACAAAATTGCTGAATTTAAACAAACACTTTTTATAATAATAATAATAATAATAAATTGCATTTTGAAATAAATTTAAATAAAAACAGTTATTTGAAATTGTAATACTATTTAATATTTATATAGTATTTTTTTTTGTTAAATTACACTGCAAAAAAAAAAATGATTAATTGAATTCACTAATTTTTTTAAAGGTAAGTGGTTGCAATCAATTTATTTTAGCTACAATTAAATAAACAAATTTAGTAGCCTAACTTTGTTTATTTAATTATAGCTAAAATAAATTGTTTGCAACCACATACCTTAAAAAAAAATATATATAATTTTTTTCAGTGTACATGCAGCCTAGGTGAGCATAAGAGACTTATTTAAAAAAAAATGAATGAATGAATAACAAATCTTACCGACCCCAAACTTGTGAACAGTACTGTGTGCTTATATAGCAAATGGCATTTTAACAATAATCACTAAACTGAGAGACTCACCAGCAGTTTTCCAAATTTGATGAGAAAGGCCTCAGTCACCACCTGCGGTCGGAAGATCTGTCAAAGCAAATAGGCACAGTCATGAGGCAATGTAGTCTAAAAGACACTTCACCAACCTACAACACTGTACAACATTGCTATTCACTACCCTTGAGTCTTATTCCGTTTGAGTTCCACCAAAAACTGTCAGTCTTCACTTGAGTTTTAGTGGCTATGAAGTCTTACAGTTGTCTTGAACACAGCCGGATGTACGCTGCAGATTTCTTTCATCGTACTGCAAAATTGGCAGTCTTGGATCTATTAATGCATCATGCTCACCGACGGCCGATAAATTGCCTTTGCAATGAATCTTCTGACAGGTTCAGAATTTTTAGGCCGCATTGCTGCGCTCTAGACGCTCAACACTGTCAATCGTGAATAAAATCCCAGCTTCGATGCGCATCGTACAGTCTGACATAAGAACGTTAATGTCACTGAGGAATGTCACCGTTAAAGTCTGCCATGGGCTTTACCCAAGATCTCATCCGGGACACATCGTACCGTACAATCTGACAAGCAATGATTGTAGAGGACAGCAAAAATCGCAAAATGTTCAGCCGCTTTAAGAGAAAATGTTACAAAGCCCTGCTGTTCTGTCAGAGGACATTTTTCACCATCATGCACCATTTCGACTAAGCAACAGAAGAGGTGGTATTTGAGTGTGTCCCATTTACATTGTCATCCTGGGATGTGATCCTCCTCTCTGGAGGACTTCAGCGCTGGTGTGAGAATGAGGGGGTTCATGTTTGTGCTGTAGGACAGTAATGATGTGAGGACAGAGGTCATAGTCGTGGACAGTGACAGGTATTGAGATCTTATCCACTCTCGCCTCTGAGAAACACACCGGACGTGACCTCTGTGCTGACCCCTGTGACTGATGAGTGCTGTGAGTGTCAGCGTAGTGTGTTGGCTGTCAGTGAAGCAACAAGCCACAGAGACAGATGAGACAACAGAGAAAGCTCATCACATGAATGTATGTATGGATGCACAAACACAGAGGCATGCTCTCACATTACAAGAGCACGACGCCTCACAGAACCACACAGCAGCTGAAGAGATCACGCACATGGTGCTCAAGGGCATAAGAGGCCAGTGAAGTCTCAAAGATGCAGACCAACCTGCTACTGGGAAGACAACCAGCTATGCCCTGCAGCATTTTTCTTAATATCAGAACACACACACACACACACACACAAACACAAACACACACTGGACTGGTGTAGCTAGACTTTTGACTACAGGCTTGAAGTCTAGCCCACACTACAGCTTATTCTAGCCAAGTACCGCCCAGTTAGGCAGGAAGGGGTCGACTGACTGACAAAAGTTTGGACATTCAAAATAACAGTAAAGACATCACAACTGTGAAATAACACAAATGTAAGTATATGCATTATTCAGTGACAAAAATGTTAAATAAAATCTAAACTTTCTTTTATCCATCTCATATTTCAGCTTCTTCAAATCAGCCACCCTCAAATGACCCTTCAGCAATCATTATAATACACTGATTTACTGCTCAAGAGCATTTCTTTTTATTATCTGTTGAAAACAGCTGTGCTGCTCAATACTTTTGGGGAAACTGTGATACAGTACATGTTTTTCAAGATTCTATTCAGGATTCTCTGATAAATTGAAAGTTAAAATAATAAAATAAAATAAAAATAAATCAATCAATCAATTTAATGTGTCCTTGCTGAATATACTGTATATCAAAGACAGAAAAATCCAGTGAGTCATTCTTCGGAAGCGCTCACTGGAGCAGCCTGGCGACACGTCTCCTAGAAATTTAATCAGCCATTAAGAGCAGACATTTGGACAAATATTTGCCATATTTGGGTGAAATATGCATCAGGCGGCTAGTGAATGTCTGTGGGTGATCTGTGGATGTGCTGTCTGAGACTGGCACTACACCAACACAACTCACTGTGAGGACCATTAAAACAGACAGACACACAAACAATCAAAAGAACTGCCTATTACAACTCTAAGCCACCCACTGCAGCTCTGTGTTAATGGACATCAGTGTATCCTCCTTAGATGAGTTAATGACAGTGGAACTATCAGACAGACAGCTCTATCAGCGCTGACCCCTTCAAATGAGACGACTCAATCTGCTACTGAGTCTCCATGGCAAATCCTGGCCGAATGTAAAAGTGTATTAAATCAGCAGAGAGACTCATCAACTCTGCGCACTGACAAACATCTTTCTCTGAGAACACCAGATCCCTTCATATTAATTTTGGTATGACTGAGTGTGTCAGAAGTAAATCCAATTTTGCACTGTGTGGCAACTGGTAATAATCTGTGTGTGTGTGTGTGTGTGTGTGTGAGAGAGAGAGAGATAAATTGAAAGTTAAAATAATAAAATAAAATAAAAATAAATCAATCAATCAATTTAATGTGTCCTTGCTGAATGAAAGTAATAATTGCTTTCAAAAAACTTACTGAGCCCAAAATTTTGATCTGTAATAAATTAACCATATTAAACATTAAGGGAAAATTAAAAGTTTTCTAAGATCATGAGAAAATGACCAGCCACAGTTCATTTTTAGAGGAGGAGAGAGAGAGAGAGAGCGCTGAAGCTGCACCAGAAAGCTCTTTAATAGATCATTTCATTCTGACAGACAGTGATTACACTCGGTGCGTGACAGGCAGGTATGGCACATCCTTTCTTTATTTTCTGTTCAGATGAAGACATAAAGTGAGAGGTGGACGAGAGTCTGGAAAGTTTATTTTGTAGTTAGTTTAAATGACGCGTAATGATTTACACATTTACTCTTTTCAAACATTATCACAATACCTCTCTATACTTCAAAAATGAACTTCATGTTCTTGACCATTTTTGTCCTTATGACAAAAGCTGCATCCGAATATGCATTCTTCTCTAATATATACCAGGCGAAAAACAATGTGTGACTGAATTCACAGTTTTCATAAAACAACATGCAAAAGCAGCCCGGATAATCTACTACTTTTTTAATGGTTGCAAAGTAATTACTTGTTCAAATGAAGTGTCTACTTAGAGAGTATGCAATTTTGGAGCAAGCCACAGACATCTTTTGGAATCTTTCTGGCATTTTTTATATTTGTCATAAACAGCGCATTTAATATACATTTAATATAAATTCAATATGACTACTTTAAATTCAAAATTACTCCGTAAATGTGCAACACTACTATGCACAGTATTAAGTTGCACATCTACTGAAAATAATTATTTTCTGTTTTCTTTTATTATCTATATTGATGCACATATATGCCGCGTACAATACAATTTTACCCATGTATTTCAAAGCTTTTAAAGGGATAGTTCACCCAAAAATGAAAAATACCCCATGATTTACTATCCCTCAAGCCATCCTAAGTGTATATGACTTTCTTCTTTCAGATGAATCCAATCAGATATATACACTTCATGGAACATGATCTTTACTTAATATCCTAATGATCTTTGGCATAAAAGAAAAATCCATAATTTTTATCCATACAATGTTTTGCTAAAAATATATCCAAGCGACTTAGTTATGACTGGTTTTGTGGTCCAGGGTCAAATATATATAAAAAAATGTCCTGGCTCTTCCAAGCTTTATAATGGCAGTGAATGGGTGTTACTATTCAATAGTCCAATAGAAGTCCAATAAAGTGCATCCATCCATCCATCAAAAAAAAGTGCACCATGTGGCTCCAGGGGATTAATACAGGCCTCCTGAAGCGAATCGATAAGCCCCATGTCATCCAGCTGGATGCCACTCTCTCGTGAACGCGCATACGACAGTTAGCGGAAGCTAGAGATTACGGTTTATAAAGTTTTAAATATGGATATTTTTCTTACAAAAACATTGATTCGTTTCAGAAGGCCTTTATTAATCCCCACGTGGTGCACTTTTTTGGACTTCTATTGGACTACTGAATAGTAACACCCATTCACTGCCATTACAAAACTTGGAAGAGCCAGGACAATTTTAAATAAGACTCAGATTGTATTCGTCTGAAAGAAGAAAGTCATATACACCTAGGATGGGGTAATATTCATTTTTGGGTGAACAATCCCTTTAATGTTCAAAGAAAGAAAGAAAGAAAGAAAGCAAGCTTTGGTTGAAGGTAACTTTAACAGTGTATTTTTAGACTAGTTTAGTGTGGGAATACCAGTTTATTTGACCAATGGAAGATGGAGAGTATTTGAGAAACATGTTTTCATTATTTTTCAAATTTCATTTTATGACACAAGTGGCCCAGAAATCACACATTTAATCTTTAAGCACTAAAACAGGGAAACAAATAAAAAAATAAAAATACATAACTTTTTAAAATTTGATATAAATAACACATTTAATTAATAATAATTTAATTTTAATAATTTAATAATAATTTATGCATTTAGCAGACGCTTTTATCCAAAGCAACTTACAGTGCATTCAGGCTATACATTTTTTTACCAGTATGTGTGTTCCCTGGGAATCGAACCCACGACCTTTTGCGCTGCTAACACAATGCTCTACCACTGAGCCACAGGAACAGAAACATTTAACTCAGGAACAAATTACAGGCTAGGGCTGCAATATTATGACAAAAATTAGTATTGTTGATAATTGCTCTTGACACTGTAATAATGATTATTAATGCCGATTAATAGAATACATATGTAAAAAAATTTTTTGTGTTTGGGGAAACATCACATATTCTGGCTACACAGACAAACATGTCGGTCCATGACAATAGTCTAGTCTAGCGCAGGTTATGCAAAAACTCACGTTATAATCACTGAAGCTGCAAAATGAATCTCTTACTTACATCTTTTCTGCACTTCGCTGTTTATGAGAATTCGCGAGCGTGCAGAATTACGCCAGTGAGCGCACACTCACCAAAACGCCTGCGTTTTCAGTGCTGACTAATCTAAACAACTCTGACTGGCCAGTGCATTCATAAGCTCAAAAGTATTTGGTTATTATGCTCAACACTGTGACTAAGTGGTATTTGGATGTTCCAGGTGGATGTTCTGATCTGACATAAAGGGTACTTTGCCTGAACAGACTGCGAATCACTGCTATCCACTTTATCTTTAATATAATATTGTGTGTATCCATTTGCAAGTTGAATGTTCGAGGCTTCCAGTGTCATTCGCTGCCAGTTATTTTTAGCAGCCCAAAACAGCTTGTTATGCTGCTTAATATAATAAACTGGTATTTATTTTAAAATTAATTACATTTATTATCATAATCATAAACACAATGTCTTGTAGCACAATTTGTTATTTTTCTAGTTATTTACCTGTATTGGCTAATTAAAGTCTTGCACATTCACAAAAAATAGCTTGTGAAATAAGTTATCTATTGCACCACAAGCTAGGTCCCCACATTTAATTTTTTTTTTTTTCCAGGTTGTACCATCCTTGTGGAAAACGAAAACCCAAAATAACTAGCAAAAAGGTAAATATAGCAAGACCTGACACTGACACACACCTGTGAGGTGAGCAGATGCAGCACCACAGCCATCATGGGGAGGCTCTGCTTCAGCTGACGGGACTGCGTAGGAGAGGGGTGCTTCCTTCCCACAATGCTGCCTAACACGGACAGGATGTCATCTACAGAAAGCCCACATAAACAGAAGCAGTGAGAAATCAGCCAAGCACAAAACAAACCGTCATGATCAGTCTGGCTAGGTGGCCCGGGGCGTGAGCAGGTGCATCTCTGTGTTGGGACGAAACCCACAGGAGGAACTGAACCGGTTTGAACTGGTTTCATGGGGTAGCAGTGGTGTGTAGCGGCACTGATTCACAAATGAAAAAGGAGGAACAGGTCGATACCTGAGAGCCTGCTCACGTATTCAATCAGAAAGATAATTAAAGAGAGGCCAATCAAATTCAATGTTCATTCTCATTGCCCCTGCTTCATTTTGCCCATTTCACTCTGTTCCTTCTCAAGTGAATTCTTTGCGTTCCCTTTTCCCTCTTTTTTTGGGTGTATTGTGATTGATTTACCCAGGATGGCTGGCAGTTCGTGCACGGTGTGACGGATGAAGAGGGTCAGGCATTTTGACAGGTATTCATTGCCGCTTTGTTGCTCCTTTCCTGGCGTGGCCTTTCGGACGTCTCTTTCAATGTACATCACCAGCCTGAGAGAAGGGTTGGCAAAACATTATTATTCATCTGCAGACACCCAGAACAAACAGAGAGAGGGAGAGTGAGAGTCAGATCTGAAACACACAGTGGGGAGAGGATAGATGCGTTTAATCAATTACACTCAACAGCTGGAGGGGTGACAGAATGGAGATGAAACGGTGTTGATCCTGAAACAATATCAGGAAGGGAATGAGGTCTGTCTGCCTGGCTGAAAAGACCAGAGAAAAACAAGATGCATCTGGCAAGGAATTGAATTTGAAGTGTATAAGGTATTGGAGGCTGAATTAGAGATGAATGAATTTGACTTGATTTAAACATGCAAACCAACATATTAGGATTGATTCATGGGGCTGGTGTTCTCTTAGTAAAAGCTTGGATCAGATCTCGCGGGATTCTGGGAACTGCCTTAGATCTTTCATTATGATACCAGCACAATCACTGAGGCATAATGAAATAAATGTTGTTCTTTTTATGGATGATTTTATACTGTCTTTGGGCGTGCACACGGCTTCCGGTGCGTGAGGAGTGTACGCGCTCAAAGACAGTTGGACATAGTGGTGTATTAGAGGTAAAAAAATGATATAAATACTATTCGGTTTCTGGCACAAACCAATCGTTTCATGTCTTAGGACATCAATGTGTCGTCACGAGCCGCAGGGTTTAATTTGGATTTGTCTGTGCATGTTTTTTTTACTCTCATAGATTTTGTTACCATTGCCATGCATTATACGACTGATAGACTGCAACGGTTGGAGTTAAAAATCATCAAATGTGTTCTACTGAAGAAACAAAGTCACCTACATCTTGGATGCCCTCGGGGTAAGCAGATAAACATCAAATTTTCATTCTTGGGTGAACTATCCCTTTAAAAGAGTATCTCAACACAACATTGATTGATTCAGCCTCACCTCTAGTATCTCAAACTAATCAATTCACTACAAACAACATATGCGTCTTATGAGAGAAGTAGCTAACATAATATTCATGCTATTGTTATGCATGTCTTGAACACAGTGAAGAACATGAATAAGAAAAGAGATGATAGAGCTTGGGCAGTAGGGAGGATCAGGCCATTCTCAAGAACTGCTGATCACTGTAGTGTTAACTCTGATTGATACACCACGTTAAAGGAATAGGGAGGGGAAAAAAAGGATAAAAGAAAGAAAAGCAATTTGAGTCATCATTTACTTCATTATTGTCTTCAACACTTTGGCCGAAGGATCAAACATTCACTATTCACTGAACATCTTTTCTTTTTTTAAGCATATACACTTAAGCATATTCAACTCTACTAGACATTGTGAGAATCAACTGCAATTAACATCACTGACATCCAGTGTTGGGCAAGTTACTTCCAAAATGTAATACATTATATATTACTAGTTACTGTCTTTTGAAAGTAATTAGTTACATTACAATATTACTTTCTCTGAATTGTAATGCGTTACACTACTTTTCGGTTACTTTTGAGTTACTTTCACCAAAATACCCACAGAGCGAAACTGAAAGCAAACGGCGTTCTCGCGCAGCCTACCTCTCTCATTCGGTATTCATCCAATTAAATGTGTCCATATTTGCAATGTATTTGAATGCTAAACTATTATTTATTATGTAAACCAAGCTTACTTAACGCACTTAAAAAACATCCTCGTCACATGAGCAAATGTGTTTGGCCTGAGCTCAGGCTGATCGACACGGATTGCACTACACAGTAGGCTATGCACTATTTAAATGAACCAGTGTATCTATATGTTTGGTTGACTATTTTATTCTGATAATGAACAGGCTGCAACGTTTGCAATGTTGTATGTGTGTGTGCGTGAGGCGCCAGCGCGATCGAACAGCGGAAACAAACAACAAAAAAATACTCTGTTATTTTTGGTCATACAGATCATTCGAAACTGCAATGTGTTTACTTTATTTCTGTCATCTCGGTTTCCTTTCCGTGGACTTTCGTAGAGCGCCGCGCCACACAAATAGCATATGAACCAAACTCAGCAGCATAGCCTATCTCTCAGTCTTTTCCTTTCGTTTTGTTAATCTGTTAATTAGGCTAAAACAAATATTTTGCATACTCATTCTGGGCTCGTCCGCCGCCTTTTTTCACTTCTGCGACCCCGCAGCTCTCTCCGATAGCTTAGTATTAGTGGCACCAGTCCAGGTGCTTCCAGGTTTTACTCGTGCTATTTCTCCATTTTGAGAGTTTGGTGTTGCATATATTGCACCTGACTATGCATTCTTATCCTTTTCTCCGATGAACTGAAAATAACAGGAGTGTGTCCATCTCACAAATGTAGAATCCGTCTCTGCAGTAATCTCAACCATCTAATTCCAGCAACAGGAAATAGACAAACTATTTTACCCGCGGAATTTTTTTCTCTGGTGCCGTTTTGCGGGGTTGGTAAATTCACCACTTAATTTTGAGTTAAAATATGTTGTTGTAACTTGCGTTACTGAGATTGTAACGAGTAATAATATTACCCAAATTTGATTAGTAATGCGTTATATTGCTGCGTTACAGCAAAAAGTAATATACTACTGTAATATTATTACTTTTGTAATGCGTTACTCCCAACACTGCTGACATCAAACAAGGCATGTCTTTATGCACCAAGTATGAATATGCCATTTGAGAGCTAAAGCAAGATTTTCAGTAAATAAAGACTGTTTAGATTTAATTTAATTTAATTTTTTAAAGTTTATTTGAATAGGGACAATACAATAAACATAATTCCAGTCAAAGATGGGAAAAAATGCACTGCACATAGAGATTATAGCTGACGCTAATTCACATCTCATGTCCCTAGAAAGGCTTTTCTAAGAAAATCTATACAAATATAAATAACCAAAATAATTATAATAAAATTACTATCTGTAGCCTACCAAAAAAATAAAGAATCTGAAAATCTGAATAAAGAAGAATAAATAAAGAAGTTTAGATCTGTTCCTGATGCACAGCTATCGTATGGCTTGAGAAGATGTGCAATATTAAGCATGAAGGTCACATTAGCAACATTTCAGTGAGGGGAAACAAAAACAGTAACCTATGAAGCTCTGATGACACAGATGCCACTTTCAAAACAAGAAGCAATGTGACAAATTTGTGAACTTGAATTCAAGCAGAATCTGCATTCAAACATTTATTGTTTGAATGTCCTGATAAAATAATTTGAAAGATGACACTTTGTTTCTTATCTAAAGTAAAAAAAAACATGAAACTTATTGCGATTATTGGACAAGAGGTGTGATATATGTCTTGTGAAGTTTTATTCAAGCATGAACAACAGGCTAAAAGATCAATCTTGGGATTTAAGAATCAATATTGATTTGCTAAAATGAAGATATATAAAACTAGGAGTAGGGCTGCACGACAGACAAGCTGCGCAAAACCACGATCATATTTTGCGCATGTTTTGCGCAGCTTGTCTGTGAACAATGGCTCTGTGTAGTAAATGCTGCTCAATGTGAAAGCACGCACGTGATGGAGATTTACCGCTGATTACAGAACTGGCTTTACGGACAAGATGCGCATTAAATATCGCATGCGATTTATCGTGCAGCCCTAACTAGGAGTTTCAAATTAAGTTTCTCATGTGCAGTGGTTAAAACAGTACATGTGTGTACCGAACTGAAAGACCCGTACCAAAACTATTCGATATGAATATGTGTACCGTTACACCATAGAAATTATTATATGGCAGCCGAATATCTTGTTTTGTGTTTCACAGAAGACAGACAGTCATACAGGTTTAGTATGACATTAAAGAGAGGGGAGAAAAAAACAAAATAAAATAAATAAAATAAAATATTTTTATGGTAAATTGTTCTTTAAACGGGTGGTTGATTGCGATTTCACTTTTTTAACATTAGTTAGTGTGTAATGTTGCTGTTTGAACATAAACAATATCTGCAAAGTTAAGAAGCTGAAAGTTCAATGCAAATGGAGAAATCGTCTTTTAAAATTCTGGCAGTTTAATGCCTACAAAAACGGCTGGTAGGGACTACAACAAGTTACTTCCCAGGTTCGTCACGTAACAAACCCTGATAAACCCTGCCCTCTGGAAAAGGTAGCAAAGGGGGCGAGGCCATGCTGCACTGCTTTAGAGAAGAGGAAGAGAAAGCTAGAGGTGCACATAAAAATCTATTCATATATGAATCGCGATTTTGTCTTCTAACGATTCTAATGGATTCACAAGTTTCAAAATCAATGTTCTAAAGCAGCGGCTCTTAATACTGTTCCTTGCTCTGCACATGCTCTGCATTGCATCTCCTCTCTCTCTCTCATTCAGCTCAGCTCCAACAATGAACTTTTCCAATTATACACTTATTTTCACATAGCTATGAGAAGCGATAAACATGAATGCGCGTGCAGTTGTCGCACTAAAGCTTTAATCAGGATAAAACCGCATATTAAAAGCTAACATGGGCAGTAGCATTTACAAATAACAGCATATCTAAAAGTATGAGACAACAACAAACAAGAAACATAGGCCTACTATTAAAAGTCATGCTTGCATAGGTTCTGCACGATCCTCTTCAATAAAATCCTCTGCTTCTCAATTGGGCTCAAACTGATAAGCGATATTACCGATGCCGTTGTTTACAATACAACAGGAGCACATGCCGCTGAGGTGAGAGGCGGGTCGTTTAGATGCGCACTAGAGGCGGTTTAGCCAATCACAACACACTGGGCTAGCAAACCAATCAGAGCCCATCGCCTATTTCTGAGGGCGAGTCTTCATAAAAGCAGGAAATGATCAGCGCATTTCTCAGAGAAGGGACAGAGCGGTGTGGAATAAAGGTAAATTATGTGAAAAATAATGTTTTTTTATTTTTAAAGCATTAACACATGTTAGACTTCACCCCATAAACACAATCAAGCCTAGAAAAAAAAACAGTGAACCACCCCTTTAAAAAAAAAAAAAAAAAAAAGAAGCATTTTGCTAAATTCTGGACTGATATAGCTTTAAATGTTGGCTCGACATTAAGTCTA